CGTTCTGGAAAATATTAGCGTTTCGTGTTCGTTTTGACTTCGTGTGGACGGGGCCTTAATATAAGTGCATTTTTCCTTCAATTGAGCAGGTAATTTAAACACTTTGCCAATTGAATAAGACTAGGGTTGAAACAATTAATCAGATTAATCGTGATTAATAGATTTTCAAAATAATCCCCAGCTAAATTAGTAATCAATTAATCGTTAACCGAGTATAGGGACTGTAAAACATGCCTTTAGCTGCGGAGTGAAACACAGTAAAGGAGGAGGTTCGGAAGTATAACCACTTGTACGATGCCTCAGACAAATTATATAAAGATGCCAAGGTCTCTGCCAAAATGAAGTTCTCGTGACCATCCGCCTAAGTTCTCGTGAATTTTCGGATAGTCTTCCCCTTGTGCTTTGGCGGGAAACTGCTGTGCGTCCCTTGAAACTCCAGACCGACAGTGCAGAAGCATAGCAGCAAAACTGGTTCGCGACCAGACCTAAACGACATTTAATGTGTGTGGCTGCAGAAGTATAATCTGCCCCTAATTCTATCAAAATTGTAAAAAAAAATTCATTAAGATTTTGCATCTAAGATAAAAAAAAAAAAAGAAAAATGTTTTCGTCTGTCAATGTGCTCTATTCTGAACCCCTCAAACGGAAAAGTTTTAGTGTCATGTGGTTTAATTTCTTACAAGATCTCCTTTAAGAAAGCTTTTGATATCCAATTATTACTCGATTAAGAGAAAAAAATCCCCAGATTAATTGATTTGTAAAGTAATCGTTAGTTGCAGCCCTAATAAGAACATTTACATTTAAAATAATGCACTCTATTATATTTCAATTGCATTCTATCCACCTTATTTTCTCATTCCATTGGCAGACAATCTTATTTACCATGTTGTGGTGTGTAGGTCATTGTCAAGTGAGTAAAACACATCAGTTACATTTGTGCTTTTTACATTAAAGGAAATTATATTGATGCCATGAAAACATTCAGCCAGTGGATTTTGACCCCTGTGGTAAAACGTCTGGACAACAGTCAGGCTTCACGGCCTGTAGCAAACTGCAGACGTCTCCTGTGATTTCCTTTCCTTCCAATTCGCAACAAAGGCTGAACTGCTAAACTAAAATCTTATCTGAATAAAATACAGCAGAAATATCAGGTTTCTGAAGCTGCAGGGGGTTCTGAGGAGAAGCAGCAGGTAGAAATCCCAGGGATTCAACAGCAGGAGATTGTAAATGTCTGGGAAGTAAGGCAAAAGGCTTCTTGAATGGACCAAACTCACATTAAAACAGGAAATCAAATGCAGGAAAGACATTAACCCTGGCAAAGCAGGTTTGATGCTAAGTATACAGCATATTTTGCATGTATGCCTCTAAAAGCTATTCATGCAAAAGCAGCTGCAACGCTGCATCTGGACAGTCTGCAGTTGTTCAGTCCAACTCTGCCTTTCACCCAGATCACCAAAACAGTTTAGACTCCCGGACTGATATTTATGATCCAAACTGCAAAGCATTTCATCCTAAGCGCGCCGAAACCGCGACAAAACTGTTACGCAATTCAAAACGGCGCACTAAATTATTAAAGCCATGCAGAGGAGGCCTTCGGCTCCTTTCTGGATCTAATTCCAAAGTTAGATGTGATGTCGCAGGCCACCAGTCCTGTTCTTAAAGGATTTATCGCCGCAGCCTCACTGTGTCCTTTTAAAAGGCGAACAAACAAACTGGCAGTGCATGCTGGATATTGTTCAGCATGACTGTATCCTGCAGGCAGCACACATTAGGCCTTTGTGCTTTGAGAAACACCAGCGGTTTTTTTTTATTTTTAGTTTTTTAAGCCTGCCTGCAGCACAGCCATGCACTATACTGCTGACACCATCAGCAGCTTTTCTGAACATTGTCAAGCTTTATTCCAACATCCCAAAAAAAGAAAAAAATACTAGAGGGATAAAGTAGACTTTTTTAATGATTTTCCATTATCTTAAGTGTTGTCAATCATAGGAATCCTTCAGATTTGCTGCATGCTTTTCTTTAAAGATCCACTGGGCCCTGAGCAGCACTCTTTTGCTGACTATAATCCATGAGTGAATGGTTTAGGATTCTCTGAGCAGAATACAGATTGAGCACCAGCAGCAGCAGCAGCAGTGTAATAACATGTTATTGATCCAAACCTGGGGAATTTCAGTTTTTTATCATCGAAAATAAAGTAAATAACAAAAAATGTGCGTTTAAAAATAGAAACATAAAGCATGAAAATGGATCAGGGTCCAAATGACAACCATGCTTGGTGATCGTTTTGAGAGCCGTTCTGTCATAATCTGGGAATCCTTAACGAACAGCACATCGTCCAGGAGACGGATCATTTTCATTAGGGGTGTGCAAAATAATCGTCATGATGATGCATCGTGATTCTAATTTTCGTGATCTACTGCATCGATTCTTGAC